GAGGAGTATCAGGCTCCGGGTTATATAACTCATTGGCGAATTCCGTAACATATCTAGCAATATAACGTCGCGTGTTATAGCATCAAAGCCAATATTGCTAGGTACAAAACGCAACATTAAAGACTGTCTCACAGTTGCAATAGCCATACTTGTTGCTTGTCTACTCGAATACTGGAACATATGAGTGAGGAATTCATCCGAAAGTTCCTGTCGCAACTTACTTAAAAAAAGTAATAGGTCTTTTTTACTGACATATCTGCAACCACCAGCACAAGGGACTGGCTCACGTCTATGCACTATTGCAATAAGTGAATAATTCTCGGAATTGTTCTTTCGTTAAAGGACAAAAGCTTTTGAACTCCTTATCATTGAAACTATATTTATCTTCTATTCTGGTCATACTTCTAGCTACATCACGTAGACTTTCTAAAAATATTTGGAGTTGTGGTCCTCTTATCAGATACGGTCTATTGATAAAACGTATACTAAGTAACAGAGGTGGTAGGAGATAACCTCGATCATTCAAATGATGTCTACATGATTTGATATTTTCAGGAAAAAAAATATTTCTAGAAATGAAAACTTTAGACTTACACTCCATTGAAAGTCAATGCAAATCAAATTGGACATTACAAATGAGACAGGTACCGTTGTTAGTTTGGGTTACAACATTTAATGTCAAGCAGCCAGGATCTTGTTCAAAAACTCTTATCTTTTCAAAAATTGACCGATTGCAATTAAGGCATAGTCGTGTACGATCAATTATATCCAAAGGAGGCAAATTAAAAACATCTTGTCTATGAATAGCTATTTCTAGTTTACCAGCATTTTCTTCTCCATCAATACCAGCCATTGTTCTTAAAGGAGATCTTCTATTACAGATGTAACAAAAAAGATTTTTGTTTGCCATTTTATACTAACAGAAATGTCACTTTATTTTTATTGTGAGTAGCTGTGAAAACAACTGATTGTGAGTAGCTGTGAAAACAATTGACTTTGAGTAGCTGTGAAAACAACTGATTGTGAGTAGCCGTGAAAATAACTGATTGTGAGTAGCTATGAAAACAACTGATTGTGAGTAGCTATGAAAATAACTGATTGTGAGTAGCTGTGAAAACAACTGATTTTGAGTAGCTGTGCAAACAACTGATTATGAGTAGCTGTGAAAACAACTGATTTTGAGTAGCTGTGAAAACAACTGATTGTGAGTAGCTGTGAAAATAACTGATTGTGAGTAGCCGTGAAAACAACTGATTGTGAGTAGCCGTGAGAACAACTGATTTTTTACCCTTTTTTTTTGTTAACGCGGGGGAAATGCATTACGCATCCCCCGAAGGCCCGGGTAGACCCCCGGGGGTATGTGGGACTCCCCTCCCCCTTCAACAGAAGGAGGAGGTATACCCACTAAAACCCTCGCATGTGTCCTTCTCTGCGCAAGTAGAGCGAACCCCCGGCATCGCCTTTCGGCATTCTTCAGGGGGCCACCCCGCGCTAGTGCTTTCGCACTCCGTACTCTGGGAGGGGGGGAAAGCGGCGGGGACAAAACCCCATCCCCGAACGCCCCCGCCCCGCTCTAGGGCCAATTCCTGGCGCTTTCGCGCGGCGAGAGACGGACATAACACCTCCCGCCGCACCCCTTCCGTTGTTACTGAGAGGGTGGGGTCTTCCTAGTACCAAACGCACCAGCGGTAGACACCGCTGGGCGTGGAGCCTAGTGGCAGCGGCGCGGAGCGACCCTACCTTGCGCCTCCCTCCCGGGCCACAATGGGGAGAGTGCATCCCCCCCCGCAGCCCGTAGGGAAGAGGGGGAGCCGGTAAGGGCGGAAGATCTCACCCAGTACCGACCCCCGCCCCCCCCCCCGGTGCCAACCTGGTGTTCGGCCAGAGCCTGTGGACCCTCCGGGAGGGAGTCCCCCCGCAGACTCCGTGAGTGGTGGTGGTGGGGAAGGACCGGTTCGCCCCGCAGACACCGGGCCTCCCTGACCAGGAACCGCGTTCGGCGGCCGGTCTCTGCGATGACCCGGCGGCCAATCGCCGCGCAGGCCATCTCTCACCAGCGGGCAACCGGGACCACCCATCCGATGGCCCGGGTCCCTTCTCACGGCACACCGCGCAGACCACCCCATTGGTGCAGACCCGCACGGTGTTTCCGGCCAGGCCACACCGGTAGCAGTGCCCGCTTCGGTCCGTAGACGCGGAGCAGGCCGCCCGGACGTGGCCTAGCCTCCAACACCGGTGGCATTAGAGCGGGCGGTTCGGGAGCAGCTCGACCCTCGCTCCCGCCCATCCCAACGCCACCCTACCCTCCAACGCCACCTGAAGAGCGGCCGCGAGAGGGAGCCGGGCCCAAACCGCCCCTTCTCCTCACCAATTCCACCGGATGGGGCCGAGGCGCACGTCACCCGGCCCACATCCACCCCGGTTCGCAAGAACCTCGCCTATCTCCTCGGGGAGGACAGACTCGTCAAAACCGTCGAGTCGGATCTCCCCCATTCTTGAGGGCTGTGTGATCGCAGCCCCCGGAAGCGACGCCCTGAGCTTTTCAGCGAGGTCGTCCGCCTCCCTCTCCTTGCTGGGTCCGGCCAACCCAAATAGGAGGCCGCCTCCTGCAGCCCTCCTCACAAAGGCGGGCCGGACCCCACCCAGCCCCGGCGCAATATCGCCTCTCGCCTTGCGGAGGGCCTCGGCATACGAGAGGCCCCCCGGCTCGAGGCAAACCGCCACCGCCACCGTCGTAGGCGGAGCCGGCAGCGCACGATGCGCCGACTCCTTATTACCGCCCCTTTCAGGGGCCTTCTTCCTCCTTCTACCAACCCCCGCGCCCACCACGACCGTTGATCCGAGGGAGCCGCCGCAGGCGCGGCAGGTACTACCGGTCCAGGACTAGCAGACGGCACCCCGCCAGCCATCGTTCGCAATGGGGACGTCGCCCGCTCGCACACCTCAGGCCGTACCTCCGGAAGTGGAGATGCGGCTCGATCCGTACTATTTACGAAGACCGGGGCCGGAAGCGAACTCGCCTCTACAAGCCTCGCAATCCTAGTTTCCAATTCCTCGCTCTTCCCTTTCCAAACCCTCCGTTCCTTTTCCCATTTCTTCTTCTCACGTTCCCATTTCACCCTTGCCGTTTTCCATTCGCGTCCTCTCGACTCCCATTTCAGCAGAGCCACCTTCAATTCCTCTTCCCTGCCTTCGTCCTCTGCCAGCCACTCATCCCTCTCCCGAATGGTATCCTCCAGGTGCGATGTCCGGCACTTAAAAGCCAACCCCATACTCTCACCGAACTCGAGAATCCTGTTCTTCCTCACTCTGATGTATTCTTTCTTCGCATTTGACATTCTCTTGCTCTTCGTAAGAGCATCCTCAATCTCAGCCGCAATCTCACCAATCACGTCCAGGTTATCGGCAAAGAACCTTATGCTCATCTCCATCATCCCAGAATCTGGAATCCCTGCATGTTGTCCTCTCCTGCCTCTCAGATATCGTCCCGGGCCCCTCTGCCTCCTTCCTGTCCACCGTCCTTCTCTTTGCCGTTTTAATGGCCCTCCCTCCTCCTTCCGCACTTTCATCCACGGTAGCAGCTTTGGAGCGCGGGCCCCTAGACAACCCGCACGCCAACCCGTCGCCGGATGACGACGACACAGGGAGCCGGGACGCTACTCCCCGTGCCGCCGGGCCCTGGGGCTCCGAAACCCCTGAGCCGGTAAGGCTGCATTGTGTCGTCGTCATTTAGGTCCATCCGATGAGTGAGAACATTACCCTTCACTCACGGGCGGGTTATATTTCGGGGTTTTCCTTCCCCTAGGTCGGCTGTTAAATAGCTAACGAGCCCGACCTGCCCGGTAACCGACCGCCAGACTCTGCCCCGGAGTACGTCCGGGCGGCCCCGACGGTCGCTCTCCTTCCTCGCCGGCCCATCCGGCATGGGTGACCCTATCGGCATGGCCCGACGAATCGTAGGGGGATGACGTCCGGGGTTAACCCCCCAGAAATCACCAATTCCCCTTCACCGCCACGTACCTCGGGAAAACTTCTCGAGGCCGTTTGCCGAGGGAAGAGAAACCCCCAATTGTGGGACGCGGCGACCGCCCCATGCCAGGAGGCACGCCCCGAGGGACGTCCTCCCCAGATGGTGGTTTAGAGCAGTCGCCCGGCAAGCGAAAGACCCGGGTTCGAGTCCCGACCTAGCAAGACCGCGCTTTCAATATTTTTCTCTTTCTGGAACGAAAAAGATACGCAGATCTCGAACGCACGGCTGAAGCGGGAGTATACTCCCCCCTTATTTAGGGTGAGGGAGTCCCACATACCTCCGGAGGCTTTCCCGAGCCTCTGGCGGGTGAGTAACGCATTTCCCCTGGGTTATATAAAAAAAATAGGGTCTAAAATCAGTCCCCCTCGGGGTGCACCACCTTGACGTGGTGAGGGGGCTTCCTGGGTCTCGACCCGTTGGGCAGTACCGAGAGTTCAACTCTCGGGAGGGCCGCGGGTGGGGATCCGGGATCTAAGAGTGTACCAAACGGGGGGAATGTGGGTTTGGCCCTCCTCACAGCCAGACGGTGCCACCCCCAAAAGTGGGGGAGTGGTTACCCCTCAGAACCTCTTGGAGGCGAACACCGCCCGGCTCACCCTCATCTGACCCCACCAGCTCCCGCTCCAGCCGTGCGTTCGAGATCTGCATATCTTTTTCGTTCCAGAAAGAGAAAAATATCGAAAGCCCGATCTTGCTAGGCCGGGACTCGAACCCGGGTTTTTCCCTTGCCGGGCGACTGCTTTAAACCACTGAGCTACCTGACGCTCCACGCTCACGACACTCTTCTCTTCTTAGATAACGCTTAGAGATGCCGTTCGGAAGCGACATCTACGGCGCGATCCCGAGCGCACGGCGACTACAGAGAGAAACAATGTTACTGTACCAAATGGTACAGCCATTCCGGCAGGCAGGGGCGGATGGCCGCAATGGTCCGGATTCCCGGCGTGTTCGGGGCACCCAGCAATCTTTGTCATCGCCGGAGGGCCTTACGCCGGGCCGAGTCGCGTCTCCTCTTATCGTCTCCGGCCGTGACCAGGTGGTCACCATCTCGCCCGCGGAGCTCCGCAACCTTGTAGTACGTCTCTACGTACAGTTGAGCTAGGAGCTCCGCCGGTATTATGCCGGCCAGGACCGTGACGGCTGCATGCGACACCGTCCTATACGCCTTCACGAGGCGGATGGCTATTAGTCGCTGCGCACCATGCAAGATTGAAATGATGCGCCGCTTGGCCCCCGCCTCTCCCGCCCAGACTGGCGCCCCATAAAGGGCAATGGACGAGACGGTGTTCGTATACAGCCTGCGAACCCGATTGTCCGGACCACTGATGTTGGGGAGGAGACTGCACAGTGCAGCCGCTACTCTCTCCAACTTGGGACACAACCTCTCAAAATGAGAGGTGAAGTCCCATTGGCCATCCAGGTGGGGCCTCAGGTATTTGATGCCTGGGGTCACCTCCACGCGGGTTGCCTCTACCATAATGCTGGACCTCGGGGGCACCCCCGCTAACCGATCGTACACGAACATACACTCGGTCTTTTGAGGGGCCACCCGTAGGCCCAGCTGCCGTATTGAGCGCACGGCACCCGCTACGGCTGTATTGCCTATAGCCGTAGCCTCCTCCCAGTCGATGCCTCCCGCCAGCACCAGGGTGTCGTTTGCGTAGCAGACCATGGTGCAGGCGGGAGGGAGGGCCGTTCTTAAGACGCGGTCGTACGCGAGGTTCCAAAGTAGGGGTCCAAGTACCGACCCCTGTGGTACCCCGCAGTACATTCCCCCTCCGCAATGGAATCCAGCGTTGCTGAACTCCAATTTCCTCTCCCGGAAATAGTCCCGTATAATGTGGACCAGGTGGGGCGGGAAACGTTGATAGCGCATCGCCGCCTCTACCTGGTCCCAGGGGAGGGAATTAAAGGCGTTGGAGATGTCTAGCGACACCACCAACGCCACCCCCCCTCCGCCACCTGTTGTTCCGCAAGGGACCGCATTCTCAGGATCGCATCTACTGTTGAGCGGCCCCCGCGGAACCCGTACTGTCCATCAGACAGGTCAGGACCATCCCGGGAGAGGTGATGGACGAGGCGGGCGACGATCACTCTCTCAAAAAGCTTGCCCACCTCGTCCAACAGGCAAATCGGCCTGTAAGCGGACGGGGCCCCCGCTGGTCGGCCCTCCTTGGGTAAGAGGACCAGACGGGCCCTCTTCCATTGACTGGGAAAGATCCCCGCTCTAAGGCAGTCCGTAAACAGCCGCCTCAGGCGGAGGCTTAGCTACTTCAGGGCCAAGGCCCATGCCCTGCCAGGCACACCATCCGGCCCAGGGGCTTTAGATTTGCCCCCGAGCCTTTTGGCAGCGATTGCGAGCTCCTGCTCAGTGACCTCCAGGCGCGTCTCCTATCCAGGTGGGGGCCCTCGTACGGCAGGGGTTCCGGCCCCGCCGTAGGAAAGAGGGCCCCCACGACATTGTCGAGCGCCTGGGGGTCTAGGTTCTCTGTGGCTGGGGACGCCCATGTCCTCAAGCGTCCGAGGACAATTCTGTATGGGCGCCCCCATGGATCCCTATCGAGCTCCTCGAGCAACCGCTGCCATGCCTGGGCCTTGGCCCTGACTATGGCTTTGCGCAGGTCTATCCGCGCGGCTCGGAGAGACCTGCGCGCCAGCTCCCATTCCAATCCCTTCCGCCGCACCGCACGCATGCGCTGCACGCGTCGGCGGAGGAGGATGACGGACCCAAGTAGCTCCGCCACCTCCTCGCACCACCAATAAACGGCGCGGGGGGTGGGCCGAGCTCGGGGCATGGAGGAGTCACAGGCTGCCTCCATGACCTCCCCAAGCCCGGCCGTCTCCTCTTCAATATCCTCCCGGGCCAGCAATGGGGGAGATTCAACCCTCCCTGCCCAAGAGGACGCTATCACAGACATCTTAAAAGAGACTTCGTCCAGGCGGCGAAGTGCCCAGCGCGGTGGTCTCAACTCGGCCCCCTCTCGGCGACGACGGAGCACCTCCGTCGGGGTGGCGACCACGGACAACTCGATCAATAGGTGATCAGAGTTGATGTCCGTTTTGGTCGCCACCCTCCATCTCTTGACTGCGCGCACCGCAGGGCGATTACCGAAGGTCAAGTCCACGATGGACTCGCCCTGCGCGCGCACACAGGTGCTCACGGAGCCTGAATTAATCAAGATCAGGCCCCTCGTCGCCGCCCACTCAAGGAGATCCTGGCCTCCGGGTTCCGTCCGCCGGGAACCCCACTCCCTGGGAAGGGAGTTGAAGTCCCCGGCGACTATCACTGGGTGGGCGGCGTACATATCTAGCACGCGCCCCACTTGCTCCAAGAACACCCCAAAACGGGCCCTCGACCATACCCCCGAGCGTGGGGGGGCATACACTGAGGCCACCCTCATTGCGTCCCACTCCACCGCCACAATATATTTTTCCGCCCTGATTAATTTAAGGCGGAGAGACGCCTCTTTCGGGCGCCAGTATATCGCAGCGCCCTGGAACTCGTGCCGGAGCCCCAACCAACTACTGTCCCTCTCAGGGATGTGGTGCGGCTCCGACACGAGCGCTAATCCGCCATTTCGCTCCGCGAGGACCTGTAGGAGTAAGTCCTGGGCCCCCGCGGAGTGATTGACGTTTGCCTGGTGGAGTTTGGTGGCCATTTTTAGGCCTTATCCTGCCCCTCCAGGCAAACTTCCACATGATCCGCCGGTGGGAGGCAGTTATTCTCGCCCACCAGCAAAGGATTCGCCACTGTTGGCATCTCCTTCATCTCCACTTCCACTATCATTGGAGGCGTAGGCCCCTCCAAAGCCGCCCCCCCCTTTACACCTCCCTCCCCTGGGTTTCCTCTGCTCCAGGGGGGGGGGA